GAATACTCTTTAGAATTCCCTTTAAATTCGCCTCAAAATTCTTCAGATATTTTCAAGCTAATGCCACAAATTTCCAGAATCGTGAAAATTTTCTAAGATCTATTATATTGATATTTGTTTTCAAATCAGGGATTTTGGAAAACCTTTCAAGATCCAATATCTGTAACTTAGTTCCAGAATCTTGAAAACTTCTTCAAGCTTCTTTTTTTTTTCTTTTTCCAAGATTTGAAGAATCTTACAGTCTTGAAGATTCTTCAATCAATCAAATCGTAAAAAAAATGTGTCGAAGCTCATTTAAATAAATTTCAAAATGTCCAAAATAATTTCAAACTTTATTCCTGTTTGCAAAATTCGTGTTTTGGCACGTATTTTTCCCAGTAGCGTTGACAGACCCTGAAAAATTTCTATGAAGTTTAAAAGAGTCTTTGAAATGCTTTGGAGATCGCACCCATGGAAATATGTAAATTCTAGTAAGGTACCTAAAATTATAAAATGTTGCAAGCTTCTTGAACTTTCGAATTTAAAAAAAAAAATCTGAACATGTATTAAGTTTCTAGCCATGGTACATTGCAAGTATTATAGAAACTTTTTAGCATTCTAAAAGCCTAAATCATGGTTTACAGAACCTTCATAAACCATTTTTTTACTTGGGTGTATTAGTGTGTGATTTTATGATTATGAATAATGACATCAATTGAATTCGTTATTATTAGGGTTTGAGAACGATGGTTCATTTTATTTCAGCAACCTTATCTTCCAGCAGACGCTCTGGACAGCAATTTCCATTCATAAAAAAATCTGCATTTGCCAGCAACAATGACTGGGTGTATCCTACACAGCAAAAAAATAATTTTGATATCACGTCAAAGTGGATGCACTACAATCATGTCGAAAATATGGTGTAATATTACTTGCTTAAAAGGACAAAATTATCATTAATACAATGCATAAACTGACATTACGCTGCTTTTACTGCATTTGTTTATTTATGTGGTCATAAAAATTACATGAAATTTTCGACATGATTTGCATCCACTTTGATGTGATATCAAAATTATTTTTTTGCTGTGTATGGCTTACCTTCCCATAATTCCGAAATTCTCGAGACATTTATGAGGGGTCGTAGAGTGCTCTGCATCTTTCTTAAGTAAATGTTGAACTAACATAACGTTCCTATCCCTACCAGTTGCAAGGACGTGGCCAGGACAATCCTAGGGATATCTCTTTATCTAGGAGATAGTAATCATTTCCTACTCACCAGCTGTCCAGTAATAGATATTCGTCTTGCTCTTAATAGTTTTGAATTCGTACCACCTACGATATTGTGCAACTTTTTCGATGCTAATGCTAATGCTAGTGCTAATGAATAATGACCGTCAATTGAAAAAAAAGAAGAAAGCCATTTCCCCCAGACTCCAACTTTAACAGAAGCGGTGTAGACATGTGAGACATTTATTCGATCTCGTTGAAGACTTTTTATTAAAACTCCTGGCACCCCTGCCCTGACACCATGGACACCAGAAACATGTGGCCGATGAGTTTTGGGTACTCAATATGCCCACCAGTTATCATGTTTTCGCAGTCTCTTTTTTCAGTCTCAGCTTTTAACATCAAAATTCCTGAATTCAGAAGTTCTGCCTTTCATTCGACAGCCATTACTCGTATTCATCGGACGTGTGCTCTTTCTGCTCTGCTTAACTTGGTGAAATATTGTAGCGAAAATGAGTGTAGTTCGCAAAAACACACTTGTTGTTGACTTCAGTGTCCTTCCAGTTCGTCCCAATGCAGGAAAAGTGCAAAAATTCTTCGAGAACAATATAAGGCTTCAATATTCGGACGTTAGATGCATTCAGTTTCATAACGTCCGAAATTGTATTTTTATTGAGATGATAGACAATGAAGTGGCCTTGCGCTATAAAAAGGCGCACAACTATAAACACGTGTTTCTCTGTGCGAAGAGTGAGTTCAAAATCCCGATATATGTGGATTGTGAAGCAGTGACCGTTCGAGTGCATGACCTTCCTCTGGCATGGCCACAAGCCACTGTTATGAACCACATGGCAAAGTACGGGACAGTGATTTCCAGTCGACATGAGAAATGGAAGCACTACTTCCCAGGATTCCTGAGCGGTGTTCGAGTTTTGCGAATGCGACTCGAAAGGACCATTCCATCGTACATCACGGTCGACAACGAAACAACGTTGGTAACGTACGACAAGCAACCGAAAACGTTCCGCCATTGTGGCCGAGCAGCACATCCCAAACAGAAATGTTTGGATGTAGCCACATCGAACAATAGCACCGCTCCAGCAGCTCCACCAACCGACATCGGGTCAATCATCTCCTGCTTTCACCGGGTTCTCAGCAGAAGAACAACAGCGCAGCACCGAGGATCATCACACTTCAAACGGTGAAAGCAACGACGAAAATTCTAGCACCAGCTCATCAAACGCAACAAAGGATCAAATTGAAAATACCAACAAACGCCGGCTATCGAAACCAGCTGGGTGGCATCCCTATCTTGTTTGCCTTGCCTTGAAAAGAGCTAACATCGCTGCGGGCCCGCAAATCGTGGGCCCCACTGACAGCTCATAATTTGTAAACAAATAGAAGATTCAAGCCAGAATTTCAAAAAAGGCGTGACTGATATTATGGATATTCTTAATATTTTTGCTTACATTTTGTGAAAAATAAACTTAGAACTCATAAAATATTATTTTCTGATTTTCTACCACGAAGTCAACCATTTATATGGCATAAAAGGGAAAATAATTTCAGTTGGTAAAAATAAGACAATTCAGTCACGCCATTTTTGCAGTTCACACTGGAATTGTGACGTTTCAGATGTTGGTTTCAATAACATGGCGGCATGTCAGCCAGCTGGTCGAAACACAAGGAGAACGAAAAAAAAAAGTTCGTGCTGATCAGTGCACCCAGAAGACTGGTCAGCAAACAGATCGTTTAGATGAAAATAATGCAACTTATCAAATAGGGAATAATACGTTTTATTTGAAAAAATAAAAGCGGGAAGGGTTCTAATTGTTAATAATGCTCATCGACCCAAACAATGCCTTATAGGCGAGGGGGCCTTATAAATAAACGCAAAAAAAAAGAAGTTCTGCCTTTGACATATCGAGCTATAGAATCAAAATAACACTACATAGAACATCGACCACTTGTGGAAATATCGACTTATGGAGAGTACAATACATGGAAGTTATAGAAAATATCGAGTTGTGGAGAGTTGACTGTATGAAAAATGCCAAAAACGCCATGTTGAAGCAAATACATCATCCAAAATGGACGAATTTCAGCAAAAATATGAATGGTAGCCCATAATACACAATTATGCATCGTCGAATTTCACCGATCCGTCACTTGGCGTGGAACTGCCTCAGTTATAACTATCGTTCCTACTATGGTGTATTCCAACTATGGAACACGTATAGCAATAACTGGAACACCTACCCTATGTATGGAATCTCGTAAAAAAATATTCAAGTCTGAGTAAGCTGCAAACCATTCGGCTTTATTTTCATTCAGCCTATAGGCTATAGCTATAGCTTAGGTACACACAGCTTATAACGAATTTAAGGTCATTTTATTGTATAAAGTAGGGTAAATAACGGCTTCGGCACCCATTGACTGTTTCCGGCAAGCAAAATTTGAACGTTAATTTGACTGTATATTTCCATCAAAACGCTTCGCTGAATGTATTCAAACGTTAGCCCATGCATTATCTGTCAAAAAACCCGGAAACTTATGCATTGTGCGCCAGCCTTTAGTCTATCAGCTTCAATCAGATTACATCTTTACGACTGAGCAATCCTGTTATGACAGATTTTTCTTTAAATTAAATATACGCACTTCAACATGCGGTTGATTTCGAGTTGCCGATAATAGAACAGTTGATTAGCACGCAGTTCAAGTGGAAAGGTTGCCGACAATAGTCACCCTCACCTGAGTAGTTTGGAGCGTTGTAGAAACGCTTTCAAACAGTTTTGAACAATTCTGTCGATTGGAATGGATAGAGCAGCAAGCAGTAGATGAAGGTAAACAATCACGTCATATGTGTGTCTAAAAATGCTAATAGAATTGTGGACGCTACTTAGATTGACGAGAATACGTAAATTCCCCTATTAGTTTTCTCGGTAAGGATGAGAAAAATTATTGTTTTTTTTTTTTTAATTAACTATTTATATAGGGGAATTTACGTATTCTCGGCAACCTAAGCAGCGACGTTCTTTCTATAGCCTTTTTCTCTAAGGAACGCACACATATGCAGCATTTGTTTGTTTGCAATCTTTTGCTGCCAGCTGCTCTAACAATTTCAGTCGAAAGAATTGTCAAAAACTGTTTTGAAACGCTTTTACAAAGCTCCAATCTTCTCTAGTGAGAGCGAGTATTGTCGGCAACCAGTTTTTCTTCGGCAACCGTTCCATTTGAACTGCATGTAAATCTGCTGTTCTATTATCGGCAACTCGAAATCAGCTACAATTTGTAGTGCGTGTGTTGCATTTCAAGAAAACCTTGCTAGATTGCTTTTTCTCAGTGGTAAAAATATAGTCAAATTGAAGCTGAAAGCGTAAAGAATCGTTTGCATGCATTCAGCGAAGTGTTTTCGTAAGAAAATCCAGTGAAAATAGTGTTTCAATTTGGGTTGCCGAAAATAGTCTGTCATGCCGAAGCCGTCATTTCCCCTACACTGAATTTCTTGAAAGATTAATGTGTCATACCTTGGAGAAAAAAAAACTACTATTTCTCAAAAAACAGTCGGATATCTGTCCCGCAATGTACATACTGCCGAAAATCGAGCGATCGACTAACATCGCGCAAAATTATATCATAAATAAACTACCCATAAAAGCATAATTGTCCCATCTTTGCTTGATTTCCTATTCATATGGGACAGTTATGCTTTTATGGGCAGTAATTAAATAACACAAACAATGATAAACATACCTAGATGCATCAGAAACTAATTCCCACTTCCGTTTCAGCCAGCGTCCACAGTCTGGCAACGCCCGTCGGCTCGTTCGCTTCCGGTCCCATCATGGATCGCTGGGGACGCAAACCGGCCCTCATGGTAGCGATCGTACCCCTCATCATTGGATGGATCTTCCTTGCGACAGCGTCATCACACTTCCTCATTCTCGTTGGACGCATCGTTGCCGGCATCTCCGTTGGATTAATCGCCGCCCCCGCACAGGTACGACCACATTCGAATAGACTGTAGCACCTCATACCACGACGGGACTTTCCGTTAAATTTCCATATCAAAAATCGCCGTCACTTGAGCACATAATTTTCGACATCATCGTCGAGCAGACCGACCTGTTCGGCTGAAGAGCCAACGAACGGCCTTGCCGGACAGTTATTCGATCTGCGACGGCGACAACGACTCACGCGCATCTTCTAACGTTCGCCAATTTTCAAGATCAGAAAGTTGCCACTTTCCTTAATTTATGCCTACTATCTGGATATGGGGATGGTCAATCTTGCCCGTTCTCACAAAACGTCTGGTACACTGCCGGAAGAAACTGCGCAACCCGACGGTCTGAAAAGTGCGAAAATGCCTCAATTAGATTGAATCGGCGTAACTAAGTGTCAGCCGGCTCAAGTGGTCGTCGGCAGTCGTAGCAGCAAATCCACCACCCACTCGATCTGTCTTAAACGGTTCCATCCATCCACATCCACATGCATCAAGCCATTCATCCGCAATAATCGCGACCAGGAACTCGTTCCCGCGTGGATCTTGATTTATTTGCGTACCAAGAAAAGATGCTGATGACCATTTGCCGCGTTCGGGCCGTTGTATTCGAGAAAATTTATGGGCTTCGTTCGAATTCGTTCTGGAAAGCGGTAGCAACACCACTGCTAAGAAGGATGGATGACGTGTGTGTGTGTGTGGTGACACTTGCTTCCTCCTTTTTGCACATGCTGAATTATGAATGAACTGTTTTGCACTACAGAGTCTGGAGAAAGCGGTCCGCGGGAGGGGTGTTTATTAGGTCGAATGACCGTGAACCCTGCTCTTGATCGTGAATAATCCACACGAGTAAAACGGACCCGCCGATTGACTGTTGCTTTGCCGGTATTGTTGCAACCGTTTCTTTCTATTTTGGTCGTGCATTCAAATATGGTTAAGCAACCATATCCGTAAACAGTTTTGAGTGACGTTTTGTACGGTGATTGCTGCAAATGGGAATAACAAATTAAAATAATTTCGTGGGACAGGCTGCCACTGGCAATTCAATAAATTTTGTAGCAGGATCTATGGTCCTACTTCAGTCTATCTATCAACTTCAAAATCCAATTTCTCTATAGAATCGATTCCTCAAATATCGAGTGGAGGCTATGTTGGATTTTTAAATAAAGTTTTATATTTACAAAAAGTTATTTTTTTAATCATTGATACGCCTTTACGCATAAATGTCCCATGGGCGAATTTCGCCTCAAAGCTTGTATGGAGCTGGCAACACCCTCTCCGATTCCCTTGAAACTTCCTGGGTGTAAAGATCTGCTTGCTTAAGCAACTTTGCATACTTGTTTTTCTGGGAAAAAATCCAGACTACCATTTGAGAAGGGCTGATTTTTTATTAAAAAAATATAACTTATACGCCTTTTTAATAGAAACCATAGCGATCGATTTAACCTCTGGTGGTGGATAAGAGAACGTCAAAAAGAGTGTTGTGACGTTGTGAGCGACATTTCTACTGTGAGACATAGGAAGTGGAACACTTTTTCTTTGCCGGCGCCGGTGGTGTAGTGGTAAGCGTGACTGCTTTTTTCTCACCCCAGTGGGTCTGGGTTCAATCCCAGCCGAGGTGGGTGGGATTTTTCTGAGGCACAAAAAATTTGTGGTCACGTCTTCCTTCGGAAGGGAAGTAAAAAGCCGTTGGTCCCGGCCCTTGCTGGGGTGGAACGTGCTGTTGAATCAGCTTACTGATCATTCTTGTATGAAATTGGTTCCAAACGTAAACAAACCCTGTAGGTTTCTTAAGGCTTGTTTACGTTTGGAACCAGTTATGAGAGGTAGGCGACGATTGTTCGTATTTGACAGCCACTTCCCTCCCTTGGGCTCATGTGTGTTAAATGGGTGCGATATCCTACGCAGGTGTGGAAGCTGCTTTCCTGCACATTCGATTGCCGTCAATGGATGGCAACCGATGTCCGTCGGTGATTGGCACTAGATTGCGGAATAGAGACCGACGTTAAATAAAGGAAACAAGAAGAAGAAGAAAAAGAAGAACACTTTATTTATTTATCTGAGAGCTCCAAAACTTGATCTACAGTTGAAAATTTTAATTCTGTATCGTTTTTGCAAGGATCCTGCTGGTGTTCAGGAATATTTTTTTTTGCAAAAATAAAAAAATAGAATACTGCTTTTGTGGCTATGATTTTTAGGAGCAAATCAGTTCAGAACTGCGTCATGTTGGCTGCAGCTCACTGCTTACAGGCAACCTTTCGTTGTGTACTGGAAAACACCACCACTCACCACACACGGTGATTGGAACTGAATCCGATGAGCGGTTGAGGCCAGCCATGATAGCTAGCTGCTTGCGGGGAGCCTTTCGTTGTGTACTGGAGAACACCACCGCTCACAACGATTGAGTGATTGAATAAACACCGTTTGGTGAGACCGGATGGGATTCTGTGTTAGGGAAATAGATTTTCGCAGGCAATCGATGATAATTTTAATAATCATAGCCACAGTTGCACATTCGCGTAATTTTTAATAGTGCCCTTTTTGAAAAATGATAACGTCTTAAATTTGACAGATGTGTAGACATATTTCTGAACGATTGGTGATAAAATGATTGAAATTGGTCCAGGGGCAGCTGAATTATTAACGTTCGAAATCTTTCATAATTTTGTTACATGTTCCATTTTTGGTTTTCACAAAGTGTACCCCCATATAGAAATCACAGACGTAGTCCTACGTCAAAATGTTTTACTAGCATTTTAATGTCTAAACCGAAAAAAATCGTGGAAGGCGTATTTCATCCTAAAGCGAATGATATCGGAAAAAACTATTTGAATGATATGTTTAATTGGCAAAAAAATCTTCTTTTAATTGGATGACGTATAAGGAAATACAGTAAAATATCCTTCAATACGGGTATTTTCGAAAGACAGTCAAATACCCTTCAATACTATAGTCGCTATATTCATAGTCTGGCGGACAGAATCTCGGGAACCAATTGAGCTGTCAAACAGTGGAACCAATCGAGCAAATCTCGACCAACAAGAGAAAAGAGCACATCAGTCATTGGGAACAAAACTTTGGAAACCCTTTTCTCGTGACTCAAGGCTCGCTTACGCAAACTAGCACCATCTTTAGGTTAGGGAAAGTTTCCCGATGATGGCGGTAATTTGCGTTCGATTGGCGAGAAAAGAATAATCAACGTTTTGTTTATAAAAATTGATAGTACCTTTTCAATTGTTGGTCTAAAATATATTGAATTGGTTACGCTTTTTGATAGATCGGAATTCTATCCGCCAGACTATGAATATAGCGACTATATTCAATAAGGTGATCCAAGGGACGTTTCTCAGTGGAACTGACAGCTAGAAATCAAGAGTGTGTGGGTGATCTGGTGTTAATGGTGCTGAATGTAAACATAAACAAAACAGAAATTCATATGAGAATAAACTGCCAGTTCTACTGTGATCTGTCAAAAGTTCTTGGTAAACTACGGCGCCGGTGGTGTAGTGGTAAGCGTGACTGCTTTCTCACCCCAATGGGTCTGGGTTCAATCCCAGCCGAGGTCGGTGAGATTTTTCTGAGGCATAAAAATCTCTGGTCACGTCTTCCTTCGGAAAGAAAGTAAAGCCATTGGTCCCGGCCCATGTGTGTTGAATGGGTGCGATATCCTACGCAGGTGTGGAAGCTGCCTTCCCACACATTCGATTGCCGTCAATGGATGGCAATCGATGTCCGTCGGTGATTGGCACTAGATTGCGGAACAGAGACCAACGTTAAATAAAGGAAAGAAGAAGAAACTACGCCTTATACGGGTACTTTCGTAATCGGAATGACGTACCGGAAATCGATTCCCAACGCCATCTTTGAAATCCAAGATGGCGGCTTCCGGTTACAGAAAAACTGGTAAATACAGTCAAATACCCTTCAATATGGGTATTTTTCTAATCGGGGTGAAGTATAGTGACCGGAAATCGATGGCCGACAATATGGCGGCTTCCGGTTGTAGAAAAACAGAGAAATATAGTCGGATATCCTTAAATATGGGAATTTTCAGAATCAGGATGAAGTCTATAGACCGGAAATCGATGTCCGACGCCATCTTGAAATCCAAGATGGTAGCTTCCGGTTATAGAAAAACTGGGAAATTCTGTCAACCATACCGTGTGCAGCGAACTGGTGAACGCTGTTCTGTGTTGCTTGCAACAACAAAACCGAACCGACACCAATAGCGAACACGTGGTACAACATATCAGCACATTGTTTATGATTTAGAAATCCGCACCTCGTAACGAGATCTCGTAACCGTTTTCATGCGTAAAGAAGACATCTTACGTAGGGTAAATGTCGGCTTCGGCACCCATTGACTGTTCTCGGTAACCAAAATTTAAACGTAAATGTCACTGTATTTTCCCATCAAAGCACTTCGCTGAATGTATTCACACGATTCCTTAGTCTTTCAGCTTCAAACTGATTTCAGTTTTACGACTGAGCAATCCCGTTATTTAATATTTTTTATTTTTAAATGATATATACCCAGAGTTGCTATTCTCCTCGGTGTAAGCACAGAGAACAAACGTCCAAGTTCGATCAGAAACTTGTGTGAAGATAAGTGGGAACATCGCCATAACGTGGCGCCAGCATCTCCTGATTTCCTCTACAAATTTTCCACTTTGGACCAATTTGGCGCTAGTATCGATAAATTTTCTGTTGAAAATTGCCACTTGGCGCTACCAGCACTTAGTGTCTAGTGTAAGTTGTGTAACACCAGCGCCATCAGGATGTCAAAAAGGGTTTTTAAGTGGGGAAGTCGCCATTAGTGGCGCTTAAGTCAAATAGGAATCTTTACACTAGTTTTTAAAGAAATTTTGTTCGAGCCTCAACGTCTGTTCTCTGTGCCAATACCTAGCAAGCGGCTTCTGAAATAACATGTTTTCAGACAGTTGTACAGATGAACAGACCTTATTCATTCGTACCCCCACAAACAACATGCAGCAAATGTCGATATTGGTTTCAACATAAATTCATTCCAACATGAAGCAAACATTCCAAATCAATTGAGGACAATAAAAAAGCGCCAACAAAGCACGAATCGATGTTGCAATCACACGGATGTCCCTATGCCTAGTCCATAACAATTGCTACAACACTGCGCATCACACAAATCACCCAGTAGCATCCAAGTCAGCTGCCCGCGTCCGAAATTAGGCCAAGGTCATTTCTACCACTTGAATGCTTACCCGAAAAAAAAATAAACGCCTTCAATCAAAACTTGTCACCGGCGGCAGCTCCCTAAATCAATCCAAACTGCTTCTTTCCTGCTCAGAGTCAGAATTATAGCAGACAGCACTTACCTAAAAATATATACCCTTCAAACCCGCATCTCAGTCACTTGACGGCATCATATCATCCTCACCACGACCGTATAGCTTAATTGTATCTTGACTGTAGCGACTCAGCACCCATATGGTTGGTATCATGCAATTTGATTAATCAAAGTTCGTTTCCCTTTCATCTGATTCAGGTCCTGTTGGCGGAAATTGCTGAGCCACATCTGCGCGGTTTGCTGATCGGGGTTCCGTTCGTATCCTACTCGTTGGGAATTCTGCTGGTCTACGCCCTGGGAAGCTTCCTCCATTGGAGACAGGTAGCTTGGTCAGGAACGATCCTTCCGGTACTGTCGTTCGTAGCCATTGCACTGACACCGGAGACACCCGTCTATCTAGCGAGGAACAATAAACTCCAGAAAGCCGCTAAAGCCTTGCACTGGCTTCGGGGATGTCCTGTACAGGCCAAACGTGAACTCGTGCAACTGATCATACGATTCCGCAACGAGACACTGGAGGGTAACAACGGTGGTATCTGGGCATCCTTAGCAGAGATATCCCTGATCAAACCACTGGTCATTATCAATGGATTTCACGTCCTTCAGATTCTATCCGGAACGTATCTGGTAGTGTTCTACGCTGTGGACATCATCTCGGATATGGGTGGCAGTGACATCAATACAATGCAGGCTGCAGTGTTAACCGCGGTCGTTCGACTGGTCTTCACATGCTTGTACTGTTTCCTACTGCTGGCGATACCTCGCCGACTGATGGTCATCGGCAGTGGAATCGGTTCCGGGCTGAGTTGCCTGGCGATTGCCATCTTCATGTACGTCCGAATGGACGCGCTGAAAACGTCCATGGATACCTACGTGATGGCTGTGTTCATCTTGATCTACATCGGGGCCAATACGGGCTTCATGACCATGCCGGGCATCATGATCGGCGAACTGCTGCCGGCGAAGATCCGCGGTCAGATAGCGGGCTATCTGTTCACCGTATTCAATCTGATGCTGTTCGGGGTGGCAAAGGCGTTTCCTTACGTTAAGGAAGTGTTCAAAACGCAGGGCTTGTTCCTGATATTCGGCGTTGCCTCGTTCGGAGCTTCCCTGCTGGTGTATCTGATGCTACCGGAAACGAAGGGTAGGACACTGCACGACATCGAGGACTACTTCCAGCAGCGGAATTGGTTCTGGGTGAACCGAAGGGTACAACGCGTCAAGGGGGAGCTGGGTATGGAAGAGGAAGGAACGCCGCTGAAGGATTTGAAGAAGTAAGGTGTGGTTTATATGGTATAGGGGAATACCTGGATGAATGGTGGCGGGAATTGGTTCGTTTCGTGCTGTTCGTTGTGGCCGGTTGGAAAGTATTAGATGTACCTAGATGGGTGTCCACTGGGGTGCTTCATTTTGAGAAAAAAGAGACTTATTTCTTATAGGCCACCCGTCAGGTTCGATTCATAATTCCAAAATATGGACCTGGGGCAGAATTGGTAAAGATTGATGAAGGTTTAGAGGTCGCGACCAAAGAACAAGATCACGATCGAAGACAAAAATCAACAAGCACACAACTGCGGTTGATATTGCAAGCTATGATTTTGCAGCACGCTAACAAAACTCACCAGCTGCAAATCTCACCAGACTGCGGTGAGATTGAGTTTCATGATTTTTGCTTTACACCCGAACGTAACCGAAAGTTCCATAACGGCTGGCAGCAGGCGCTTCGTGTCTGCCATCGATGAAGACAAAATAGAGATAGCATTATTATACCTTTTCTTTCTAAGAAAACGAGGTGCAACGGAATCATTTTTACGTCGATTGAACTCTCAGCTTCAACTTTACACGTTGTGAAAAGTCTTGCATTATCAAAGGAACTTGTAAAATCAGGCGTGATATTGAAAGCGTATGAGAGCGGAAAAATATCAATTTTCTAACGATTATGCCATCACTGATTGTCGATACTCTAAATTGAGAATACTCATAAGTTTTGTCAATACTATTTATGGAACCATTGACGAAATTTCGGTCGTGTGAGGTTTACAAATCTCCAACGCCATTTTGAAATTCCTTGGTGACAGCTGATTTGAATTCAAAATAAATCAATAAAAATTTCGCATGATCTAAAAATTCAAAATGCTAGCTACCGATTTCAAAAAAGGATTACTCAAACGACATAATGTAATCAGCAGATATGGATAAATTGTACAAAGAATGTAGCGTTTTTTATGTAAATTGGAAGCTGAGAAGCCTGACGTCGAGGCATTTAAATTTCATGGAAAATTCAGAAGACCCCAAGACTTACTCAATAATAAGTAAAACTCAAGAAGTCTATAAAATCCCGCCTTGATAACGTCAGAAGACACCAACATTAGTTAAAAAAGACATCCAGTGCAGGTAAATTGGACTTCGGGGTTGAGTTCAGCAGACTTAGAGACGTGAACTAAACATGAAAGTCTAAAACACCTCTCTCAAGGGTTGGGAGGGCTTTGGAGAAATTCATTATCTCTGGGGAAAACGGCCAGAGCACTTCGAATGTAAATCCATAGGACAGCAAGTCTAAAAAATCCAACGGAGTATCCAGGGACTTCTAGTACAAATCCTGAGAGCTGAGATTAGTTTTTCCTACCCGGGACATCCCGGTAATTCTACCAAAAATCATATTTCTTTGTTCCCGGGAATCCGTTCCAATTTCCAGGGAAACAATTTTAGAAGGAATTTTTGGTGAAAGTAACAAGAAATCTCCTAGGGGAGTCAAAAGAAATTTCTAAGGAGACAGTTTGAAGAAACTTCCAGAGGAATCTGAAGATCTTCTATGGGAAATCGGAAGAATGTTCTTGAAGCAGTCGGAAGTATTTTCCGAGGGCAGCCAGAAGAAATTTCCGGGGAAGGCTAGGAAAAACTACTGAAGAAATCAGAAGACATTTCCATGCGAAGCCAAACAGATTTATCAAGGAAGTCGGACGAAACTTCTGGAGATGTCGAAAAAGCTTCTGAGGTAGTTGAAAACGATTGAATACTAGATAGAGCTGGAATTAGGGCGTAACAGCTTTTGTAAACAATGACTTCTTTCGATGATTTCTAGAAAACAAAGGATTGCAAACGCAAAGCAACAACATCATCGGATAGGGGAAGGCTTGCCCTACCCGACGGTTATGTTGGTTTGTGTGGGCGTGCCTTGAGTTCCTAGAAATCATCGATAGAAGTCATTGTTTACAAAGGCTGTTACGCCCTAATTCCAGCTCTATCTAGAATAGAAGCTTCAAATCCATGGCGTCACCCTAACCTCAATCTACCTGTTCAACAACTCTCAACATGCTTCAAATTCATACAAATCTGTGAAACTAGAAGACCCTGTGCCTTTTGAAACTAATTTGACTGTAAGCATGACCTTAAATAACGTTTCCAAAGTTTTGAACAGATAAAAAGTGAGGTTACGCGACGGCACTGCCTCCAATGATAGTTAAAAGAAACTTGTCGAATAAGTCGAATGCGAACATTCCAGCGGAAGTCAAAAGCAGCTTTCGTGGAAGCCAGAGGAAGCTTCCGATGAAATCAGAGGATACACTCTCCCCCCCAAGAACGCGAACTCGGTCTACACGAATTCCATTTACGTTGGTCTCGAATGATTCCGTTTACGCGAGGGAATCGCGTAAATAGACCAACATAGAATATCTCGCGATCCTGAACATATAAAAGGTTACTGTCTTGGGCAAAGTTGTTCTGTAGATCAAGACCTAATGGTTGGTGATCAGAAGTTTGGAATTTTATGCGGCGCTAGTGTGCTTGAATTTGTGATTTCCTAGTTTATGTGATATCTTGAAATCCTTACCATCTAGAAAGTTGCTGTCTTGAAGAAAGTTGTTCTGTGGATCAAGACCTAATGGTTGGTGAACAGAAGTTCGGAATTTTCTCACTACGCGGCGCTAGTGTGCTTCAATTTGTGATTCCCTAATTTATTTTATATCTTGAAATCCTTCCCATCTAGAAAGTTGCTGTCTTGGGAGAAGTTCAGATATGAGAATTTTCGTGTTTGTCATTGACGCACGACAAGATGCATTAAAAAATGGTCATCCTGGAAAACTCTCGTCAAACAACAATTTCTTGTCGCACGACAAGATCACCACGACAAAATCAAGAATCCATCCAGTCGCGACTATCTATTCTAGTCATATGCCACTTGTACTGTTCCCTGAGACAAAGTACTATAGGTCATTTAAAAAGGAGCATCACGACAAGAAACCATCCATTCTAATACGGAGGGCAAATTACAAAAAGGCCGGAAATAATGTTATTTTCCTTCTATATTGGTACTTCCGGAATCGGTATTTCGGCGGCTTACGATTTCAGAAAAAAAAACAGTGGGAATTACTCCTAAATAGCCTTCCATATGGATATTTCTAAGATCGGACTGATGTGAATCCAAAAATCGATGCCCAGCGCCATCTTGAAATCCAAGATGGCGTCTGTCGATTTAAGAAAAACTGAAAAAAAAACTACCAAATATCCTTCAATATGGCTATTTCCGGAATCGGAATGGCATTTAAAATCCGTAAATCAATTTCCAAAGCCATTTTGAAATCCAAGATGGCGGCTTCCGGTTTCAGAAAAAGTGGAAAATACTGCCAAATACCCTTCAATACGTGTATTTTCGGAATCGAGATCAACTCTATTATAGGGTATTTTACAGTTTTTCTGAAGTTAATGGCCACCTCTTGGACTAAAAATGGCGTCGGACATCGATTTTCGGCATCTACATGTCGTGCCGTTCCGAAAATGTCCATATAATATATATATATATATAATATATACCCTTCAATACGTGTATTTTCGGAATCGAGATCAACTCTATTATAGGGTATTTTCTAGTTTTCCTGAAGTCAATTGCCACCATCTTGGATTCAAAAATGGCGTCAGACCAAGATTTTGTGGATGTACGCTTAGTACTTATTCCGAAAATACCCAAATTTGATAGTTTTTCTGAATCTGAGAGCCACCATCTTGGATTACAAAATGGTGTCAGACATATATTTTCGGGATGTACACGTCGACCCGTTCCGTAAATACCCATATTATAGGATATAAGACAGTTTTTCAGAATCTGAGAGCCACCATGTTGGATTGCAAAATGGCGTCGGACATCGATTTTCGGTCTCTATACGCCATCTCAATTCTGGAAATATCCATATTTAAGGGTATTTGGCAGTATTTCCCACTTTTTCCGAAACCGGAAGCCGTCATCTTTGATTTCAAAATGGCGTCGGAAATCGATTGACGGGTTTTAGACGTCATCCCGATTCTGAAAATACCCATATTGAATGGTATTTGGCAGTATTTTCCACTTTTTCTGAAACCGGAAGCCACCATCTTGGATTCCAAAATGACGTCGAACATCGATTTTCGGCAGCTTCCAGTCGTGTCCGTTCCAAAAATACCCATCACTAGAAATCACTTAGATACATGCAAACACGAAGTTCAGCGTCAAGATTCAAGCTACTTCGAGTCAGAGGTGAAATCCCGTCAAAACAACACAATTCCAGTTATTCCAATGTCTCGTATGCAAAGCGACAAGCATTTACTAGAAAACGACCAGCGGCAGTTTTGTCGCAACAGAATGGAAGAATGAAGAACGGTATCACAAATTCATGCACAGTAGCACCGCGTAGTGAGAAAATTCCGAACTTCTGTCCACCAACGGTAAGGTCTTGATCCAATGAACAACTTCACCGAAGACAGCAATTTTCTAGATGGCAAGGATTTCACATAAACAAGGAAATCACAAAGTCAAGCACACTAGCGCCGCGTAGTGAGAAAATTCCGAACTTCTGCCCACCAACCACTAGGTTTTGATCTACTGAACATCTTTGCTCAAGACAGTAACCTTCAATATGTACAGGATCGCGAGATATTCCATGTTGGTCCCTATTAGGTCAAATCCCATATGCTACGTGTACTCCATTTATGCGAATTCGATTTACGCGGTACGTATTACTCGCGCTCTTCGAGGGGAGAGTGTAATTTCAAGGAAGATTTGCAGAGACTGCTGGGAGAACTCGGAAATATCTTCTGGGTTAAAAGACACTCAAGGGCCACCCACATTAGATCCGTTTGCGTTGCGTTGACGTTAATTTGACAGTTAGACAATAGATTTAGCTGTCATTTTACCGCAACGCGTCCGATCCGGATCTAGTGTGCGTGGGCCTTCAAGAGCTGAGTGGTGCGGAGTCACTCGTGGTGGTAAGCTCCAACCGGTATTATCCTCGGATTAAATCCCGATCAAGAATGTCCGGCTGGTTTGATGTCGACATCAGAGTTAATCAACATAATTCTGAGCAAACATTTTTCAGATCATACAAACAGGGACGGTATTAAAAGTTAATCCGAGTTGGAGCTTACCGCCATCGAAGTGTTTTTCAAAACAAATCCACACGGCGAATGAGAACGACTCAAATTTGAGTTTAGTTCACTCATAATCGCCAAAAGTGCAGGAACTCAGCGATGAGTAAAATTTGTCTCATGGTTTCCTGTGGAAAACCTAAAAAATCTGCCGGAAAATGCGGAAATTGACGAAAATTTTATTCAGCCTCGGAATAGTACCAATAGACTGAGTGAATCCAATCTTTACTTTTCTCAAATTCGGGAATTTTTCCCTGGAAAATCCTGGGAAAACATGAGGCAAATTAACTCATCGCTGAGTTCCTGCACTTTTGGCGATTATGAGTGAACAAAACTCAAATTTGAGTTGTTCTCATTCGCCGTGCAACTGATCCAAAACAACACCAAGGCTTACACACTTAATCTAGCTCGGTAAAATCTCTAACAGCCGAATACCGCGGCACTTAATTGTGCTGATATCTCTGCAAAATATCTGTTAGCGGAGTCTCGACAATTGTCTTACTGAATCTCAGCTTATTCCGAACTTTATCAAATATTGGCTAAATCAAGCAATTCGACAGTGACCATGCATAAGGACCTAACAACGATGAAATGTGTCCCATACAGTGCTGTAACAGGTTGTATTGGCTATCAAAAGCTACGGCAAACGCACCGAGAAATGTTAATCCAAGCGTTTTAGTAACAAATGAGAAAATCGACGAAGCGAATCGATCATTGCAATTAGACCCTTATGGACACTCATTGTCGAATTAATTGTAAACAAATATTGAGAAAGTCACGAACGCGTTCTCATTATGGTCGCTATATTCATAGTCTGGCGGATAGAATCTCGGGAACCAATTGAGCTGTCAAATAGCGGAACCAATCGAGCAAATCACGACCAACAACAGAAAAGAGCACATCAGCTATTGCGAACAAAACTTCGGAAACCCTTTTCTCGTGACTCAAGGCTCGCCTACGTAAACTTACACCATCTTTGGGCTGATGTAAGTTTCCCCTATCCGATGATGCCGATAATTTGCGTTCGATTGGCGAGGAAAGAATAATCAACGTTTTGTTTATAAAAGTTGATAGTACCTTTTCAATTGTTGGTCTAAAATATATTGAAATGGTTCCGCTTTTTGATAGATCGAAATTCAATCCGCCAGACTATGAATATAGCGACTATAGTTCTCATTTGTATTCTGAAGAAAAGGCTCTGAGCGGTGTTGAAGAAGGGAAGTAAACAAAGGCAAGAAAATGAATGTTTTTCAAGCAAAATAACTTGAAAATTGAAAGTGATCTACTCCGCACTGCTCAGCTCAAGAGTAGTCGAAAATCCGGAAGAAGTTGGATGAAAATTCAAAGGCAGCTTAATGCTTTTCTGGTCTCCGAATTAAAATGTGTCCCGATTCCCGGGAATAGCCATCAGCGGGAAGCCAAAATTGGTCGGGAAATGGAAACAACTAACTAAGATAACCTCACATTCAGAGGACTGCTTGGGAAACGCTGATGGCATTTCTCTAGAATTTCAAAAGCAAAATGATTTATAGACTATATTTAAAGGATAATAATAATGTAACCAAATGTGGAGAACCCAATTCAGTAGATCTGATTAGGCTCAAAAGTTTCGTGGGCTTTTCCCAAAAATGCACCAACTCTGCTTCAGAAGACATTCTAGCGCTTATGACACGTTTTCCGAAATTTTAATGCAATGACCCCACTTATAATCCAAGTATACATATGGAGTGGACGGACTTCTTAGGAAGGAACCCTTGGAAACCCTGAAAGTCCCTACCTCCTTTATAAATTCATAACACGACCCTCAAAGCAATAGTACACGAAACAAAACCAATTTCCCAATTACGTTCAGCATGTCCCTTTTTTTCTCAGTGAACGCAGAGTAGAAAACCTATTGTGATATTATCTCCTAGACGTTAAGCTACGAACTCATAAATGTATTTATATAGAATTAAACTATGTATGTATTTGTACAACAAAACTAGCCAATGATACGGAAATAAATGGAACAACTACTAAATCTATCCGATGAGATGTACTAAAGTATAGCTACATACTTGCCTGTATTTGAAACAACCCAAATAAATGTCCCAAACTTCATTCTGTGCTCAACACCACTTGGTTCTACTATCACACACCTTGAGCGTCCGACTCAGCGATTCCATCGGACGGAACTCGAACGGCTGCCAGGGTCGCACCATCGGCCCAATCAACGCTTCACAGTTGGGTAAATAATCGAAAAATACCTGCCGAAAGCGGTCCACATTCGTCCGGTAGGGATCCATCGTGGACCAGTAAAGTCGGTTCTCCTGCAACTGCAGCCGCTTGAACTGTCGGTAGAACTTGGCCAGCAGCGTTTGGGCCTGGATTTAGATTGGGTTAGATTTTCCGAAGAGAACATTTTGAAACAAAACCTTACATTCCGTTCCAGCCTTTGCTTGTAGTTCCAGTTGACCCGTCCGTGCATGCCCAGATCCTTACAAACCGGCCACCGCATGGCCGTCGCTCTTGGGATAAGCCAATCCCAGAAGTATTTACTTTCGCGAAGCAGTTCATCCCGTTCCTTCTTTGACCGGGTAGCTCCGTAACGATGCTGTATCCAAGCATTCAGGAAAGGTAGCTCGTGCGCATCCGGGAAGGTAGCCAGAACGTACTTGGGATCCTCGCAAAGCTTAAGAAGAGCCCTCTGGAAAGTTCTGTTAGTTTACATCGTCATAATGGAAATTCTAACCAAGCATTACTTTCAAAAGCTGCTGCAGAAATGTGGGATCCTTTGAATCAACGTACTCGAAATCTAGCACATCGATCTCGGTCTTCTTTTCCCTGGCCTCGTCACGACCTTTGAGAAATCTTTCGTTCCACAGCTTCAACTCACAGCGCCACATTTCCTTCATGCAACGTGCCACCGCGCCCGTCTCATCCACGTTGCCTTGCTCCATCCCGAGTGCCACCCGGATGGCCTTTTTCACCGGACAAACCGGTCGTTCGGTGTCGTCTTCCAAAATCTTCCGATAGTCAAACTCAAACGGAACGGCCCCGCGACAACAGCGGAAGTACTTCTGCATTGGTTTCTGTTTGCGATTAATGGCGAGCATACTCCTCAGACAGAATATGCCCTGTTCCTTGTCGCAGGAACATTTGGTCCCATCCAGGAGCATCCGTTGACGTTCGAACGATTCCCAACATTCCGGGCAGTCACTTCGGGGAGTAAGCATACACGATACAATCGAATCGTCGATTAGCTTGCGCAGCAGCAGCTGTATCATTTGGTTGTCCCGTGCCGTCTGTTCGGCTAGCTTCCGCTCGTCACGGACTTTGGCAACTTCTTCGTTGAGCTTCTCTCTGCGAATCGGATTTGAGCATGAAAAAGGTTAAGCCGATGGGTTGAGGGGATCATAATATACGGCACAACGTATGTACATTTTTTTTTTAATTCTGCGAATAAGAAAATCTAAACTCATACCTTGTTTTACGTTTATACGAAATGAATAATAAAACCAACACAGATTGAAATTGGATATTGTAATCAGAATTCGTTCGCCATGAACCCGTGCCAAGGTGTGCAACGTCCAACCCTGGAGTCGACAATCTCTTCCGGATACTCTACTGAATATTATCATTGCTTGTTGCTCTTCCGGCACCAGTGCTACTTGTCCAGCCCATCATAGCCTGCCATGTTTTATATGCTACACAATATCTAGAGGAAATGGATGTAATATCGGCCTAAGTACCCCTAATTTGACCCATGCATAAATCCAGTAATCGACTAAATTTTCAATAGCGACCAAAAATATCCAAAAAATGACGCGTTTATCTAGATAAAATTGAATAGATTTTTAGCGATCCATAGGCAAACATTAGTGTCATTTTCCCTATTCCGTTATATTCTTCATTCTTCTTATTTGGCATTATTACGTCCCTACAGGGACCTTGTGCCGGTCCTCAATTTAGTGTTCTAGCACTTCCAAAATGGTTAAATGATGTTCCACACCATCCTCCTTTGGTTATTGCACTTGAAGGCAACCAAATACTTGAGGTCATTCCACCCGAAATGCTGACCGCGACAGTATCGGGGAACTTCTTTCGAATTTGGACTGGCACAGGATACTCGTCCCTGCCTATGTCGAAGCAGCTGCCCAAACGCTCTCACATATTTTGGCTTACGTCATTGAGCGACGCGTTCCGAAAAAAGTTCCTAAACAAGGTAATTAAAGTCTTAAAGTCTTCCAACGGAAGCTTCGATCTCACCCGAAAAGTTTTTGGAATTATGTGAATGAGCAACGAAAGGAGTCTGGCCTTCCATCGACTATGGTACTGAACGGCGAAGAAGCTTCATCCCCTCAGGACATTTGCCGTCTGTTCTCAACCAAGTTTGCGAGTGTATTCTCGGATGAGAACCTACCTGACGAGCACGTTTCTCTAGCAGCCAGTAATGTTCCAATGTCTGGTCAATCTTTTGCAGCTATCAACATCGACCTAGCTATGATAACTAGGGCAGCTTCGCAACTGAAGTCTTCCTTTAAGCCTGGACCTGACGGAGTTTCCTTCCGTCTTTCTCAAGCAACACATCGATAGCCTGGTAGCTCCCCTCTGCCTTCTGTTCGAAAAGTCCCTCTCCAGTGAGGTGTTTCCTTCCTGCTGGAAATCAGCTGAGATGTTTCCAGTGCATAAGAAGGGATGCAAAAGAAACATCGACAACTATCACGGCATCACATCGTTGTGTACCGTATCTAAACTGTTCGAGTTGGTCGTTATGGAACCATTAGTCTCGCACTTCGAACAGCACTTGAGCGAAGACCAGCATGGTTTCATGGCAGGGCGGTCGACTACTTCCAACCTTCTGTGTCTCACCTCGTACATTACGGAGAGTATGACAGACCATATGCAAACAGATGTCATCTACACTGACCTATCAGCCGCCTTCGACAAGTTGAATCGCCAAACTGGATAGGCTCGGTATAAACGGCAGTCTCCTACGATGGTTCTATCTGATCGTCAGTTGGAAGTTGCAATCGATGACTGCCGACCTCCTACGTTCCCTGCCACTTCGGGTATTCCGCCTCGGCCCGTTGATATTTCTTGTGTATTTCAACGACGTCAATTGCGACGGTCCACGACTGTCGTTCGCAGACGACATGCAAATCTATCTCCAAATCCGAGCCATCGCTGACTGCCACCTTCTCCAACTCCAACTCCAACGCTTTTGCTAATTGGTGCCAACTGAACCGCATGGTTGTAAATCCAACAAAATGTTCAGCAATCACGTTCTCACGGAAGAAACATCCAATTACATTCAGTTATATCCCAAAATGGTGAGGACCACAAGGGAAAGAGCGTCCAACATAGCTCTGGTCTTCACAAGCTCCTACCTCACGCTTCCACGTGTCGGATGATGACAGCCAGTATATGCCCATATATTTGCTGGTAGCGGGGTGTGGGCAATGTCATCACGATTAACCCATATCGTGATGATAGCAAGGCTGAGGAGGTGCGAATCGTCGAGCGTCTGTCCACCAGGAGGTGCGGCTCGAACAGCGTCTGTCTGGGATCCAGCGGCTGAAAAAGAAATGCTGTATTGTGTCAGCTAAATCCAAGATGGCAGCCCCATCTACACAATAACCCGAGCGTCTGTCCACCAGGAGGTGCGGCTCAAACAGCGTCTGTCTGGCTTCCAGCGGCTGCAACAAGAAATGTTGAATCGTGTCAACTAAACCTAAGATGGCAGCCCCATCAACACGATGTAGGTATCGCGACCCTGGTCGGCTAACAACTTCGTCGAAATAGTTAACGGCTTCATCAATCGACGAACACAAGTCAAGCGACTGCCAATCTACCTGGGCCAGTGAGTGATTCAATGCGACGTAGTCAGTTCTACGAAAGTCCAGGCTTTGTACATCAACGATGCTTTCATAGGGAACAGGAACTGATCGATTGATGAATGCTTCCAACGCTGGATGATCAGCGTCTAGATGAATCAGAGGTTCGGATGCCTCAGCGACACTGCACTCTAGTGCGGCGGCTTCGTTCACCAACACAAGATCAAGCAGCCGAGAGTTTCTGTTTGGTACAGAATTAATTTGCATTAAGCCATGCAGGCTAAAACCATCCAAAAGAGCACAGCAGGAAGCAGGCATGTACGACCGAAGAATGTTAATGGTTGGATGATCAATTCGCGGAAATATTCCAAACAAGCCCAGACTGGTTATAGTCGCCAAATACCACAGCTAGATCGTTGTGATGTAATCGGGACAATACAGTACCAATGGAACTGATATGGTTCTCAACGCAGCTCAAATTAGATTTACGGTCAGGAGGAAGGTACATAACGCCGATGCTTATCATGCTGTGTGACGTCGTAATCTTCACCAATAACTGCTCAAGAGAAGTAGCCGGAGCAGGATCTAGGCAACAGTCATTACGAAAAACTGAGAACCTACTGCCAAATAATTGTGCTGAGTGAATTCGATCATCTAGCCAGGTCTCGGTAAGAACTATTGCATCGTAGTTGGACTCAACAGCAGTCAAGTATTGCTTAAACCATCATTAGGACTAAACCCAGTCTGTTGATGTAGAACCAAATAAACAAACAAACAATGAGAGTTTTCTGAGCCAGTACCATTTTTGCATTAGTTCAATTTTGTAGCAACTACAATCATACTCTATACCCAAGAAAGTCGAGAATTTTTTCAACCCGAAAAATTCCTAGACCGACCGGGAATCGAACCCAGACGCCTCCGGCATTGTCTTGCTTTATAGCTGCGCCTATACCAACTGAGCTAAGGGAGTATATTCTTCATATAATTCGTGATTCAAGCGACGCCATCAGATGTCATTTTCTAGATTATCGCCGAGTACTGTTCGCATCGGAAGTTCGGCCGTAGGTGGCTACCAAGAGTACCCAGGGGGGGTTGGGGAGAGGCTTGTTAGGGTTTTCTTCGGTACGTACCACTGCTACCTTTGACGGGCCATGTCATTCGTGTATGGCTTGGAAACCTTTCAGGCGTCTTCCTTCTTTGGTAAGGATTGACACGACCTAGAACGACATCGGATTGACCCCGTGCCAAAAGGGGAATGCTCCTTTTCGGTTAGAGGTAACCTCCCCGAGTTTCAAACCTCCTTTGTGGTCAGTCGGACCAGAGGTTGGAATTGGTCCTTAACTGTTAGGCGAATCGTGTGGTCTGATTGGGCCTGGAGGGATCTGGTGTATAACACACGAATGTCTGATACATGTAACCGTTCTGTTACAAACCTTAAATTCGATGTTTTTTTAATTGCACCATGTGATCGATGTTGCAGGTAAATTTAAACTATAGCGATAAAACCCACTGGGAAGGCGACACGGCCATGCTTAACGGCCTATTGTTGAATACTGAGTCACGGGGTGATGGAGAGAAGGGTCCTGCGATGCTCAGCGAATGGCCATCGTTCACTTTTAAACAGGTGAGCGTGTACACCAGAAGCGATTAGCTAGTGGAGTAATATTAATACCTAGGGAATCTAGTGCAATCGTAGTGAATCGTAGTGACCTGTTGAACACCGATTTTTCAAACCACTTACTGGTTGGCGAGTCTTAGACCTCCATTGCACACTACGGTAGAAGTGACTTTCTAGTCACCGATATCGAATTGCCAATGACCATTGTTCCTCGTGAAGGAGGCCCTAATCACTAAGGAGAGATTCCCTTCCCGGTTTGACAGAGTGTGCCCTTACCGTCGTCGACCAGCTTCGTCTGAAGGAAGCGCCACAATCTGTCATACAACCCCATTACCAAAACACCACACCGCTAAACCAAACCGCCATCGCACGAAAGCGAACGAACGGTAGAAGTGCTTGTCAGACCGCCATCGCTGTATTCTCCGGTAGACCAGTCAGTCTTTATCGTCCACCATTGCCCGAATCGTTCTGAAATTTCAGCGAGCGCTCGCTGGACTGCATTTGTCGTAGTTTTCGAAAAAATATACGTGCCGAAATATCCAATACACCACACTACTCACTCCTAAGTGTATTGAGGAATGTTTGGACAATATAGTTGCTACCACCCCATAGCTACAACCCTGTGGTGCATCGTTATACCTCTATGGTTATACATGGTTATACGCCGTTAACTGTCAGTGCGCTTGGCGCGAAGAGAAAATAAACTTTTTTATCTTTGCTATGACGAGAACTGTACGATTACTAAAAATAAAGAGTTCTGATTATTTTGATGATTAACATGCAAAGCATATTTGGCGACGAGAAGTGTCTCTGAAGAGTCGTCATCGAAAAACCGGAGTTAATATGGCAGAAGGCGGAGAAAACTACCATTTTTCTAGGTTCGAGGAGATCTCCCCACAGGAGCTGTT